AACTTATCTTTACATGTTAAATCACAATAGATCTCACGGGTTTTTCAAACACACATCTGTTATTCTAACAATTACATCCAAAATAACCATTACCCAATTTTTCAACCAGTCTATAGTGATAGCTCCCCATCCTCTACAAATTCCATGGTACACAAGAGCATGTAGAGCATCCTCTCTTACAAAAGCCAAGAGGAGAGCTCCCCTAAAACCCCTCTCCTGCTCTGGGGCAGATTTTTCATCTGCTGCACATGCCCTGCAGAGCTGGTGATGTCTCTGTGCCTCCCCAGCTCAGTCCTGCACACAGGCTGTGCTCTGCAGGGCCCCAACAATCTCAGTCAGATGGTGGCAGGAGCCAGCCACGTGCACGGCTCAGCCAGAGAAAAGTTCCACGGTTTGCCCGCTCCCTGTCAAACACCGCCAAAATGGAAACGTTTGCTCTTTAGGCTAACATGTAATTTATACCAAATCATCCTTTAAAAAAAACCCACACACAAACTGAACTCCAACAAAGAGCAAAATGTGGTTTCTCTTTATTACAGAAAACAGAAAGTGATCTCTTCACTTTCATACCTTTCTTAATTATATTTCTTCATAAACACAACAAAAAGTACTATCAAAAACTCATAAGTAATCTACAAATTGAGACTCCAAAATATTCACCAAAAGGACACTAAAACAAAAAGCTGCAAAGCTCAAGAAATCTTAAAAACACAAAGGATGAATTTGGGGTGTGGTGACATTAACTTCTAGAGATTCATGCCTGCAGCAGAAATATAGCACCTAGCAGAAGAATACCAAACAACATATGCAACAATAGTGCACTTATAGCAGTCTGATATAGGAAAACATCCTCTGAAAAAATATTCTATGTAATTTGGATTAGTAGCGCAAAAATTCCTATACTTTGGTGCTTTTTAATAGTAAATAAAGTGCGAGCATATTTTCCTTTGAGGAGGGTAGGATTGCCTTCAGTTACAGAGCCCCCATTACGTGATCAGGCAAAAGGCAAACTACCTTTGGGGCCAAATGCAGGATTTTCCAGAGCTGCCACATGTATTTCCACCTGGGACCACAGCTGCTGCTTTGCTGAGGGGGTGGGTGGGGTGCTTGAATTTCTGTGTGGTTGTGTTTGGTTTATTGGGGGACAGGTGTCCCCCCTAGCAAGTTATTTCTCTCTTACTAGGATAATTTTCACAGCAGGGCTAGGATTAGGACTGGGCCAGGATTCTGCTCCTCCAACAAAAAGAAAGTGAACTCTGAAGTCCAAGTCTAAACAGCCACAACATTTCTGGCAGAATATCTTTCTCTATTTGAACATGGTAATCCTTTTTTATCAAAAATAGTGATTTTCACCAGCATCCTCAAAATCTGACAGAACATGTCAATTAAACAAAGTGTGGCCACAGAAATTTTTAAGTTCTGATCGTGCATCCTAATATTAAGTCACAACTTCTCTTTACACCTTCAGTTTTTCTGTATGATGGAAAAGCTAAACATTCTGCAATATGGCTGATGGCAGGAGCATTTCTCCTCAGATTTACCTGGGACTTCTCACTTAAAAATGTTCTTTCAGGTTACCTGTGTCTTTGTGAAGCAGGAGCTACACAGAAGGAAGATTTCAATAATAGATATTTATTTCAGACAATGCTAAAAAAAAAAAAAAAAAAAGCACAACTCCATGGTTTGATTCCTGATAAATCTTCATGAGATAATTTTTAAATACATTGCACTTCGAGTAAAGAGGACATCAGACCAGTCAAATTCAGAATAGACAGAAGCTGAACCAGGACTGAGGAAACAGATTTAGATATTGAGCCTGGTTTCTGTGAGACAGAAAGGGAGAACTGCGCCTGGCAAGACTGAAACTGCCTGGGCAGTTTCAAACAGCAATGAGGCAAACCAGGGTAAACATCTCTGGGTATGTGAACTGAGAGTGGAAGCCAGAGATCAATGGGAAAATGGGTATTTGATTATAAAAGCAGGGCATGGTAACATTCCTGCATTACACATGGATTAAAATCCTCTGCACGTGCCTACACTGGCACCCTTAATCCAGTTTCAGAGCTCAGCAGGCGCCACCTTTCCAATATTAATGTCATTCTTCAATTCAGGCAGCGCTGTGGCACAGCCCTGGGGTGGGCTGTGTGCCCAGGGAGGGCTGCAGTGCAAAGCAGCTCTGCCCTGCTCTCTTCTCCCATCCCTGAACGGGGCAGGCACAAATTTGGTCTGACTGTAATTTCCCAGTTATGCCAAGAGGTTTGCACTTCGTTTTTCCAAATTTTTAAAGCAGCCTTAGTGCAACATCTACCTTTTTCTATTACGCTATTTAAATTATATCTCCCTGGAGATGCAACCAGAGCAGCTGGAGTGTGATAAGGCTTCTTGCCAGCCTTAAAATGCTGTAGGACCCACATCTGATATGCTTTTGAAATGCCAGCACTGCACACACAGATTTTTCTTCCTCTTTTATGCTGCCCTAAACGATGTGATTATTTCTGTAATACTATAAAGCAACTGTGTCAACTATAAAGAGGAATCATTTATGGCATAGGTTATTAAAACAATGAAAAATAGGCCAGTGCAATTTAAGTTCCTTGAGTGGGCTGAATAATAACTAGTTAAATAAGGAACAAAGATAAATAATTTATTACAGAATCAACACAACAAGCACAAGAAAATTGCATTCACTTTAAACTGCATCTCAAGAGGCTTCAGAGCAGAAGCACGGACAGCACACAATGAATGTGTCAGAGCAAATGCAAAATGAAGGGGATTTAGAGAACCTGTTGCAAAATGGAGTAATCACTCAACTTCAGAATATCCACATATAGAAACGCCAGCCACTGAAACACACCAGACAAAAGTTTAAGCTAAAAGTAGTCGTGGCTCAAGGGACTGCAGATTGCTGTGGTGGCCGGGCAGATTGTCTGCCTCAGCACACAGCCCCTCCTGCTCTGTGTGGTCAAGGCTCTGTGCTAGCATGGGCAGAAGAGGACTCATTTTTACAGAGTGGGATAAATGCTCATTAGGAAATCATAAGGCTGCTTACAAGTAAGGCCTAGCTCAGACATCACTGGATTAAGAAAGGTAGAGTAATACTCATCTTCAATTACTTATTCTGGAAAAGAATGAAAGGACAGAGCAGACAGAACTCAGTACAATCAAATATAACTTCCTATACAAGCCTGCACTTCTTACACTCAGTCTGACAACTCAGTTCAAACAATTCAGGTTGTTTGTAATAACAAAGCAAATATTTCCAAAGATTAAAAACCTAGCATGAGGTTTGTATTTCCATTTTTAGCCTTTTAATTAGGTTTTTCTGAAGTGCTGAAAACAGAGCAACTCTAATTAATGGCTTTCATACTTTGCTTTTTAATAATAGCTCTTAACAGCCTGGCAGTTTGGAGGTTTCAGATCAAATTGGGAATGGATCAGAAAAGACTGTTTGGCTTGATTTTACTCTAACAGAAGTGAGACAAATCTAAACTTTCCCTACACAATTAGATCTCATGAGATTCTCACCTTGATCATGGTTCTGATAAGAATTTATATTAAGATCTCACCATCTTTTCTGAAGTAGACTTAATTAATTTTTCACACAAACTCGGTATATGACCTTGGGTGAAAAAACCACCCAATCTCCTGACTTAAGCTGCTTTCCATTTATTTTTAAAAGTTAAATTTTAAAAATAAATACAAAATGTGCACGTAAAAGCACCACTATAAAACAATTTCCATGTCTTCAACATATAGGACATATAAAATTATTTAGCCTTGCAATTTTTAACTGAGATCAAAAGCATATTTTACATCTCTTCAGGATAAAGAATTTGTGCTTTGTGTGTAAAGCAGTGATACCATAAACAGCCAACAAGGAAAGAAAAAGAGGCACTGGTGTGGATAGGCCCAAGACTCAGTGTTCCTTCCTCAGTATTTCTACAATATTGCTGCAGAACCTGAATCACTATTATTACATTTGTTCCTTCCTGTTTAAGGAGGCAGGGAGAAAGACTGGGGAAGATGGCACAAGCCAGAAAGCAAGAGAAGGAGCAGGGGAGAGAAAGTGGGACAACAAATCAATAAAGTAAATTTTCCCTAGCAGCAAAAATAGCTGACAGATCTGCTTCCCAAAGAACACTGAAAATTACTTTGTGAGTAAAAGTGGCAGAGAAGATACAGCAACTTGAAGGAGTCATGGGAGAGCTGCTATTGACAGACATGCAGATGATGTAATTGCTCAAGATGAGCAGGTTTTTCTTTTATCTCAATAAAGCACTTCTGGAAAAAAGATTGGAAAGGCAGGTATGAGACAATAGCATAAAGCCTGTTCGTAACTTACATAATTTCATGTAGAGAAGAGTTGATGTATGAAGTGGAAAAGAAATGCATTGAATGCTGAAGATCAGGTATTACAGAGAACAACTTACTTACACTCCCAGTGATAAAGGAATTTAATATTTGATGAAATACATTTTGTCTGTTGAAGAAATATATTGATTTTACAAAAGGCTAAAGATATGTATTTAAGAAAACATTTGCTACTGTTCTGACATAAATTAGCTGATAAAATGGCATTTTAAATTGTCCTGTTTACTCTTCTGTGTCTTGCTCCAAGTGTGATTTTTTTTTATGCAATTTGATCAGGAGACAATCTAGTGTACACTTCCTGTGTTTCAGCTCCTGCTGCATTATGTATGCCATGACATTGCCTTTAGCCATTCTGATACCCCTTAAAGACAGGTTTTGAGCATCAGATGGTTTGGGGGGAGTTTTCAGGTTGTTTTTTTCCTGTTACTGAAAAGCATTCAACAAGACTGATGACAGGTGAACGTATGCAGTAATGGGGGAGGTGGGGGGGGACATAAAGAGATAGTATTTTATATACTTCTGTTTAGTTAGATGATTTTTTGTGCTTTACAATTAAATTTCTTAGTGTAATAGAGCAGCATGTTGACACCAGTGTGGCTATTGCAAATATCCTTTAACAAACCTCACAGATATCTAAAGCCTCTCCTAACCCACGCCGGGCCACCTCTCACATCCACATTGCCTGAATGGTGCAACCCGGTGGCCAGGATTCTGACCAGCCCCAGGGCATATGGGGTAAGTACCCAGCCTGGTTCATTGTCTTCAAGGTGTTGGCCAAAACCTGCCACTTTGCACTGATCACTTCAGTATAGTCCCCTCTCTAAAACTTTTCACTTTTAATGCTAAGCACGACACCATTTCTTCAGTTGTGAAGAAGACACCAAGGTACATTTTCATGAATGGCCACTAAATACTGTGAGCTTCAAATGTGAGTGATATATTCTAAATAATTCATCCAGATGCTGAAAGTATTGGCTACCCATCAGCAATGTTTAAGCACTGAAATTATCTACAACATCTGAAGGGTAGGTTATGTTTCTCAACACTGCTTGAGAGCAGAACATGGTAAGCAACTATTGGATTTAATCAACAAGATGGTAAATGAACACCTGAGAAAATAAGCATGTAATGAAACAAAATGAAAGTGAAATTGCATCAGAGTTCTTGTTCATTTAAGCTTTAACAAAAATCTCCCTCAAGAGCCTCTCTTTCACAGATCTTTTTCTTTGTTTCAATACAGGACCAACTGAAGGATGGAGACACAGTTTATATCATCAATAATGATGAATTGACTGAAAACTATGAATCATCTTCTCACATAGCAGTGCCAGCACAGGACAGCACAGCCTCCACCCAGGCTACAGGCAAGGAAGATATTCAGGAAGGAGACCTAGGATTAGGAGGATACAAACTCCAGCTTCAACACACTGCAGGTCAACCCTAGAACTCATTGGCATGAGCAGTGTAATGTTAATCACAAGAAAGAAGATGAAAACAGTGAAACAAGAGATGCTGTTATGTAAACAAGAGGTCAGAAAAAAATGTACTAAGCACAAGAATCAAAAAAAAATTAGATTTCAGCAACTAACTGCCTGCTCCTCCCAGGAAAGGAGTTTGCTATCACATCCATATATTTACAACCATATGCAGGTCTTATGACTGTATCAGTTTTTAGGATAAAGGCATAGGGCAGTACCAGCCCACTGTAAATCCACTGCAGTAATGTTTTGTCTCAGCACTTGGCTCTATCTGCCACTCACATGTACACAGGCCTTGGAATATTGCTTCGAGTCTTCAGTAAGTTGGAATGGAGAGAAGTAGCTTCCTACCATTCATGCTCACATGATGACAGCTCTTTTCTATGGCTGATCCTGACAAGATCCACACATAACTACTCAGCAGCTATTACAAGGAAAAAGCAGAAGATTCCTTGTCCAAGTAGTTGTGATGTGAAAATGCTTAAAATATGCTTTGCAGCACCTCAGTCTTCATAGATAAAGCCTTGTGCTCACGGCATAGACTTGTCCTGACATCCAGCCAAATATTTTCTTTCTAAATGCACCTTATAGCCTGGTCCACAGAGGGTTTCTCTAGGCTGCCACAAACTGAACACTGATAGTAGGAGACATGGAGGTGTATGAAATCAGCAACAAACACCCTTCAGGCAGCCCTGAATGAGCACAACCACTGCTTAAAGCCAGCAGTAATTCCAAAAGGCATTTGTCCTTACAGCTTGGCAACATGCAAAGCTTAAATGGGGGGAAAAGGGTTTTTGTTTTGCAAGATAATTCTAAACATATACTTTGCTTTAAGAACCAAAATGTTTCTGGTTTTTACTGTTTAAGAAGAGTTGTTTCTAATCAAATATTTCTGCAAAACAATTATATCTTCAGACTGTCTGCTCCAAGGATAAATTTGTCTGTCTCTCTTCTTATGCTGGGCACTCAATGTTATGCTAGAAACGAGGACTGTGGTGGTTAGAAACAAAAGAGGGGAGGGAAAAAGCCACACACCACACAAGAGACAGGTATCAAAGTGCTCATTGTTCTGCATAAAGACAGTAAATGGATAACCAACTGCTCAGCCATACGTACAGCTGGCTGTCAAACACTGTAAGGCATTAGTACAGATAGCTTTGGCACACAGCAGAGCTAAGCAGTGCAAAACCAGGGACAGAGCCAGGCTTCTGTTGTTAGAGCACGTGCCTTTTGTCACAGCACAAGTTTCAACTATGCATGATCATGTTCCTACTAAGAAAGTCAAAACATCAAGAGTTTTTAAGGAAGATCATCCTTAGTATACAAAGATACCACGCAAGAAGAAATTTATCTAGAAAATAAATAAAAATAAAATAATCAAACTGTCTCTATTGATAAGTCCTAAAGATGAATAGGTCTTAATTTTGCCAAAAAAAAAAACTAAAGTGCAAATATAATCAATTTTTAATCATCTTTTCCAGTGTAATAAGTTTCTGGCTATATGTGACTCTAGAACAACCATTTTAAGCATAAATTGGAACACAATGGCGTTGTATGTACTGTTGCAAGAAATCAGAAGCTTAAACTGGCATTTCATGTTTTCCTAAACCCTAATCAAGGATCTTCAAAGGGCCTTAATCCCCATGTGGGTTAAAACAAATAATATTCAAGCATTAACTTATTCACTTACTCAAGATAAGTCCTTAGAAGAACTATTGAATTTCCAACTCCATGCTTTGCTTTGTTTAGCTGCCTGGGCTGGGAAAAGATGTGCAGCAGCTTGCAAGAAGGGATGGAGAATGGGTAGGGAGGGAAGGTTCTGTCACCAGGTACTGAGAGACAGCACAGAACAGAGGAAGGAGAAGCAGACACACACTGGAGTGAGGTGAAAATGTGGCAACCCAGCAAGAAGCTCTTGGGGTAGGTGCTAACACCACCCTGATTTCAGCAGCCAGTTTCTGGTTTCAGCCTCTGGAAGTGCTGACGTGTGCCACCAGGCTTACCAAGCTTCTTGGATTCCAGTCCTTAGATTATACTGGAAATCAATAAATTGCTGTAGCATAACGAAGATGCAAAGCTGTTTTTCACAACTGCATCATGAACTGGAAATGACAAGTTCTTCAATAGTTCTGCTCTTAGATTCTACTCTGAAATGCATCCTACAGCATACTGTACAGGGGCTTACTGATTGATTTATTTATTGTGCCTATGTCCAGGTTTCTCACATTTGTACAATGATAAATGGATAAATTTATCATTGGGGTCTGAAATTCTCTGTTTATAAAAAAAGTCTGCAACAAATACTTTTCACACTGTTCCAGCTCTATGCCTTCAAGGGCTACTTTACTTGGTAGAGAAAGTCATCCCTTATGACAGACAAGCCATACTTCACATTTCACAGGTCAGATTTTTATGCTAAGACTACCCAAGAGGCTGAATCAGTGGTCCCAGCAGGAAGGGCATTTATCATCTGGGATCATGCTCAGCAACCAAAGTATCATTGGCTTTTAGGAAAATTAGCAATGTGAGCTGCAAGCAAACCTGAAGCTTCTGCTGAATGGCAATAAGAATCTCAATTGTCCATTACACTCACCATTTCCCTATTTTAAGATACTCTTTTCGTGACACACAGCTCAAGAGAGTTACAACATTAGAATAAATGACATATTTGTATTCAAGAAAAAATTACTGACAACTAGTAATTCTGCATGACTGTTTAAACAGAGTAATGAATGTTAAGAGAGGTCTTTAATGTAATTTACAGTTTATACACTGGAGATTTAAACTACTCAATATCACACAGTGTTTGACTGAATGTGCAAGTCACTCATAAATGTGAAGCTATTCCTTCTATCTGACTTAATCTAATAAAACACTGCCTGAAAAATGAAACATAATATATATTGTCAAAAATGTGGTGACTACATATTCAGAATGAAGGCCAAAATGCAAGGCAAGGTGGAAATCTGGAATACTACTAAACCTTTCAAGCTTCAAAAGTAATAATTAGCATTTTATACAGAACTGTGAAGAGCATTTTGCTAAGTTTGAAAGCAGTGGAAAAAATCCTGGCTACACAGCAGAGCCAGTCCAAAAAGACACTCTACTGAAAATATCAGATCACTGTGATAACTTTCACAGAGAAGTGCAATATTTGGTAACCTCACTGAAAACAGGGTCCATTGGAAGTGAACACTCATGTTACCGTGTTAAAAACTTAAACTTCTTAATAGTAAGGACATAAAGGCTATCTCCAAACTGATGAACCCTGCATATAACCTCAGCCAGGAAACTAATTGCCTTGAAGCCCTGAGAGCAGCTCACATCTTTTTCACCTGGCAACTTATCCAAGTGCCTTGTTGAGCTGGTCTCTTTCTTTTCTTCCTCCGTGTTTTGCTATCAGCCATCAGGAAATGTGAGCCCTGTAACACCCTGAGTGCTGTGTATGTTTGGGTACAACACAAATGCAGCAATATTCAGATCTGTATTTTAGAGGCACATGAGCACTGTACGTGTGCTTTTGAAATTCTTTGTTTTCACAGAGATTGGGAATTCCTAGGATACAAATATTAACGATAAACTTCAGAGAACCAAGACAACATCCTGAAAGCCACTGCAGAGATTGGAAAATACTACTTGCAACTCAGTATGTTTTGTGATTCTATACTTGTAAAGACAAAATTGGTTTTCCCCTACTTCCTTCTAGCAAAGTGGAAAAAAGCCTTTATTGGCATCTTAAAGCAAAGCACTTCTGAGCATTTTAAATAACTTAATACAAGGAAGCTCATCTCTGGCAATATAATCCCAGAAGACATGAGTTCTGCTTAGTGAACTGTAAAGGACTTGTCAAAATTTTATTTTAGAAACTGTATTTCAGAACTTGAAAATTCTCCAGTTGACCCAAATTTTCTAAGCAAATATTAATTTATCCCACTGCCTTAACCTATCAGTTTTCAGATCATGAAACCTCACCCTTCCTTGGGCTCAGCACTTAGTTTTTGTGGTAGATATTACTGTTCAGGAGAGTTAGACAAAACATGCTTCCTTGAATACTGGTTTATTGGTGTTTTGGGGTTTTTGCTCTTGGTAACCTATACAATTTTACATCATGATCACATAGCAGAGTGCAAGTTTCTGAACAATACAAAAGAACACTTTGCCACTATAGTAATTACCTCTCCCTTTATTCATGCCTTTTAAGTCATTACAAGAGTAAGACAGCCTAGTGCAGTGATGGGCATCAGCCAGGTGAAATCCCCTTCAAAGCCCTCGTGGTGCAAGTCACACTTCCAGTCTTAAAATTGCCTGCTGAACGACCTGGCATATCTTTAAAAATGCAAAACTATTTCAGTCAGCCCCATGGTGCCAATCTATGGCCCAGGTTTGCCTTTCTTCTGTGAAAAAGGGACTTTCCTGTAGTTACCCCATGCTGTGTCAGGTGTCCATCTCCAGCTTTGGCTCTGCATGGGCCCAGCAGTGCTAGAACAGCCACCAGCCAAGACCACCTCACACTTCCATGGAATTACACAGGAAAAAACCCCAGGCTTCATTTCCAATTAAGAAACTGGGATTGCAATCCTTCCAGCTTCCCCACTGTACACAGTCACACTGGCTCCCTCCCACAGCAGCCCCCTGGCTCTGGGCACTGCTCCCTCCATACCCCAGGGGAGGCTGCAAGGGCTGCAGGAGCTCTGCTGCACAATCTGCAACAGGAATGATTCTGCTTACAAATAAACCTCTTTTTCCCCCCCACCAGTGTCAGAGCAGAAGCTGCATTTTCCCCCAACTAATTCAGTGTTACTGGTCAACATTATTACCCTACAAATATCATTTCTGAGGTATGGAAGAACAAATATTGTTTCAGGCCTCAGAGGCTCCCAAATCTGAGCAGATCAAATTAACATCATCCTTCTGAGAACCCAGCAGAGCTTGAAATTCTGGTGCAGGAAGCAGTAGACAATATCCAGAAGCATTTTCCAGCTACTGTTCTACACCATTATTTACCACAAAGCTGTCTGTTTCTGGTGTGCTACGACAAAAG